TCTTCGGTTTCGAGTCTTTAGAGCCCTTTTGGGCGTCTTTTTTATGATCCGAACGCTTCGCTTCCTTCGCCTCATTTGGCTTCAAATCATTAGTTTTAGACGAATTGTTCACATCTTTGACTGACTGTTGATTCTTCCTTAGAGTGAGCGAAGAGCGAAATGATTTGATGTCATTTGAGTCGTAAATCTGTCGCTCCTCCCAAATGGCCAAAATCCTCTCAAGCGATCCCAACGTCTTGTCGTCCGAGTCTCTGAAAACACACAACAAGTTAACAATGCGTTCAAAATGCGGGCCAAAGGGAGTGATGGCATACTTCGCCACCGATTCAAACGAAGCCGCGAGGACTGCGCCGAACTCTTTCGAGAATTCGGGCCCTTTTTTGCGGCTGTTTTGGATGATATCGTTCGCCAAATACATGAATGTCAATCGACGCACCGCTTTGGCTGCCAATCAAAACACATGCAAATCATTAGTAATGTGTCGCCAAAACATGTGGTGACCAAAGAGTGACCACTTGTGAGACACAAACCTTTCTTGAGTTCGGCGAACCAGGTCTGGACGATACTCTTGTGGTGCTTTCGGTGATGGATTAGCCATAAGGACAGCGTTTGTATCGACTGTTGGGAACTGTTTAAGTCGATTAACTTCTTCTCCAGCGTCTGAGCCGCGAAACCAGACATCGTTTGTCCGCAAAGTGTGTGTATATCTCAAGACAGGTAATCACTTCCAGCTGACGATTACCGCAACAAAGCAAACCTTAATTCACACTTAAATACAGCAAACAATTGACAGCTTTTGAAAAGCGATGAAATTTGTATGAAATTTACAAAACTATATATAATTTAGTCGTTGTTTGACTGAAAAGCGCTAATCAATAGACAGACGACTGGTTTTGCGATTGAATTGTCGTTTCGTATCAATCAATGGGTTATTAATAATAAACATTAAAAAAGTTTATTATTTTAAAAATAAACTACAATTAAATGCAGAGAAAAATTAAAACCATTTTTGTTTTGTATTGTAT